AATTTTAAATTTTAACTGCAACTTGGTATTACTGTAAAAAAAAGGCATGAAATTTCATGGCTGCCTTATCACCACACACTAGCGCTTTAAAGACTTACTGTTTAAGTTGCTACAAGACCAACCATTCTTGGCTAAGGCCAGCTGGATAATTGATGGAATCTTAGTGCATAATGAAAATGTTTAAAAAGTCAAGGGGAAAGTGCCACAGGTGTAAATGTGGGATAGCACTGGAGTCAGCCAGTGTAGAGCACCTGACAGGCCCCTCTCTGAATTGGTCCTTTTATGGCTTGCCTGTCGTGTCACCTGTCTTTTCCTTTTCAATGTTTTGCTGGTGTTGGGTTGCAGGGAACCCTTCTGGTTCTTCTTGGGTCGGATAAGTAGCAAGAACTGCGTCAGATAGGTTAGCAAAGGAAAAGTCAATTTAATCATGAGAAGGAGGTGGGGGGAGGGCCGGCTACGGTAATCATGCAGGTCCTGATTTCAGCCAGAGTAAAGGGTATAAATCCTGACTTAAGGGCAGGGGTGCAAAGGATGGAGGAGGAGAAGAACTTCACGTGACAAGGAGGGGTCAACTCCATATAACAAAGCTTTGCCGTCGGAAGATTGCCCTGTCTTAAGGCAGCTTTCTCTAATCAAAAGCTTGTTTCTGGAGAGATTCTGAACCTCAGTGGAGGGTAAATGAATGGGTCGACTTTTGCACCGCTAGCCTCCATGGCTACCAGCTGTAGCCGCGATCATGTTAACGCAGGGCGTGCCTTCGAGCGTGAGCGCGGGGCATGCTGGAGTGTGGGGTGGGCCTGCGTGAGTGGGCACAGCTGCGCCTGAGGCTGGAAGGGCGGTGTCACTCAGACAAGATGGCTACGGCAGAAGGGCTCGGAGAGGACGCCAGGGCGAGCCCTAAAAGAAAAGCTTCAAGATTTGAGGGGGATGGAGGGGGCTGGCCTCGCTGCCTGCCGGCACTACATCTGGCAAAGGTCAGCAGGGTGTTTCCACATGGAGCCTCTGAAGGCTTCCGGGGCAGGAGCTGGGAGACCTGAGGGATGGCGGCCTCCTCACTGGGCAGAGAGACTGCACGGTGGGGAAGGCATGGGACAGACCTGGCGCCAGCTCGGAGGCAGGCTGGGAGTGCGCGTCCCTCACAGCTCTGCAAATGGAGTCAAGGGCTCTGCAAATGGAGTCAAGGACTCTGCTGGAGGTGCCCTGGCGGCCCGGCTGGTGGCCAAAGTCCAGGAGCTGTGGGAAGAGTTAAAGACGCTGCAGGCACATGAGAGGTGGAAGAGGCCCTGGACGGGACCTCAAGTGGAGGAGGGGATGCCCAAGAGGACCACGATTCATCATTCAGAGCTTGCCCAGAGGTTACGTAAAGTTAAAAACGGATGGACTAACAGTTCCGTGGGAAGGTGGGAGAACTTTTAGCAGATTTATGTTATGTCTGTAGGACCTGGGGGTGGAAGGACCATTTGTACACCCCGGGGGATGAAAACCAAGGGGTGGCCGTGGGACTCCATGGCCGGACATTGCCAGGGCCACAGCCTGCAGTGGCAGTGAAGCACGTGAACGCTAGAGTGGGGTTGCGGGCAGAGGCGGAAGCAGCCCGAGCTCTGAGGTGCTCTCCAGCCATGCAAGGGAATATATCAAAAACCCAGCTTAGACAAGACAACAGCTGGTGCTAAGGTCAGAAGTCCTGAGGCTGTTGAGCAGCTGAAAGGATGCTACCGGAGGCAAACAAGCCTCTTAATTTGCTACATGTGATGCCCTGTTTGATTAAAGGTGAGGTGCTGAGGAACCAGTCCTCAGGGGAGATGTGGGCAACACGGCTGTGGTGGGGACAGCAGGAGTGGGGACCAGAGAGACCACATGTGGAGCTGGTTATCCACTGGTCCCCAACTATGGGCGTATGCAGAGGTCTGCTTAGTGGCTATGAAGGCTGAGTGGTGGAGAGTACCCCTGGGGTACCCTGGCATTTATTGAAGGATTAGCCCCAGAAGAGTATAGAATGTCACCTATCTCAGAGTGTGAGTGCACCCTGGGGGTGCACATGGTGTATGGCTTGTGGCTGAGGCCAGAGCTGGAGAAGGCCAGGAAGTCTGATGGCCCCAGGCATGTGCAGGCAGATGCCATGAAGAGTGGTTTCTCTCCCATGAGTAGTGCCTTTGGCATAGACTTGATGGATGTCTGCTGATGCTATGTATCTTGCGTCTTTGCCCCTGGGTTGGTGCCCTAACACCTTAATGCCTGGGCTTAGTTGTAGTCTGTTGTATTCAATTGCATTGGTTACTTCTGTGGGTCATAGCTGCTGTTTCACATTCACCAAAGGAACTTTCTGGGTAGACTATAGATTTATGAAAACCCCTGAGGTGGTGGGATTGTAGGGTAAGTGAATTGGTCAGGCTTTTATGGCACTGGCCTCTGTGGCCATCATTTGTGGCCTTGAATGCAGGAAGCTCTTGGGAGCATGGGCGCGGGGCATGCAGGCCTGATGGTGGACATCTGAGTGTGGTGTGGGCATGTGAGTGGGCACAGCTGGGCCTGGAGGCTGAGGCAAGAAGGGCGGCGTCACTGGGAGTCAGCTGCAGTAGAGCTTGTCTATGAGTGGCCGGGTGACTATAGAGAGGCAGGACCAAGAGACAACACTAGAGAGCAGCAAGAGAAAAGTGTAGACTCATGAAGCACCGGGAGGCCTGCTGCCCCTTCCCCATACCCCCACCCTTGCCCAGCCCTGGTTGCCCACTACACCTGGCAATCTGCATTCTTTAAGAAATGGTACATTTCTCCAGAGGCAGCTTTGGGGACTCAGTTCACCTTGAGGCCCAAAGCCAAGGTGATACATTGGAAAATGCTTCTCTGGGGAACCTGGGGGAAAACTTATCTGACCCTTTTCGGGAAACTAGCTGACTGTCCTTCAGCCTGTGATCTTGTTCTTTGCCTAAGTGATCTAATCGAGTCCCGTGACTTCCAGATTTTTCTCTCAAGCCTTCACTTGTCCTCTGACTTGTAGAGGTTATTCCAGCAGCAAAGCCCATCTTCAGGTAGATGTCTATTAGACAGCTCAACAGTAACCTCAGTGGAACAGAATCCCTCATCCTACTCCCACCTGACTCTTCCCGCTTATTGCTAATGTTGCTCAGGCCCAAAACATTAACTTTTCCTCACACTCAAAAACAAAGCAAATCCTTCCAGCATCACCTCCAAGCTGAACCGTGAATCTGGTCAGTTCTCAGGATCTGCACTACAATCAGGCGGATGTTTTTGTCTTTCTTTACCACTGAAACTACCGCCCAAATTTCTTCTTTTACTTCCTACCAACCAGTGATTTAAGATGAAAAGACCATTCACTCCTCCACAACCCACTCCTCATTGCCTCCATCTCTCCTCCACTCATTGGATCCTAACTCTAATTGCCTTTCAGCGGCTCTAGAACATGTGGAGTAAATGAACTAATCAGGTGTTTCATCATTAGCCTCTGTGGCTAATGATGTTGAGGAAGGAATGTGGGCAGGGGTACATACATGTGCCTGATTGGGGACACCTGGGTATGGGTGTGGGTACAGGTGCATGTGCAGGTGTGCACACGAGCCTAGGGCCTGTGATAAAGGCTACAGCAGCAACAGCTACTGGGAGGATGAGTGGTGTGACTGCACACGAGGCAGGATCACCACATCAGCCAGCGAGAGCCAGAGAAGGTGTAGATTCCTGGGGGCTGGGAGACTCTGTTGCCTGCCTGCTGCCCAGACCCACATTTCTCCCCTTGCCAGGTCCATGCTGCCTCTCTGTATGCCAGCCTCCCACTGGTGTGATTGTGCACATGGTTCCCTGAGAGTACTATGGTTGTCTCTTTCCCTATTCCTCTCCCTGGTAGTCTTGTTTCCAAGGTAATGCTGAGTGCTCTGTGATGAGGTCTGTGAAGGCCTACTCATACTCAAATGTTCACTTTCTTGTCTCTCTTGTTAAAAAAAAAAAAATATATATATATATATATATCTTTATATATATATATATCTTTATTTTCTTTCAGCTTGTTTGGGCAAACACTTACAAAGTTGGCTGTGCAGTAGAGTTCTGTCAGAGAGTTTCTGGCTTTGAGAGCCTTTCCAATGGAGCCCATTTTATATGTGACTACGGACCAGCGTAAGTACCCAAGTCAATCTCTCTAAATATTAAAAAATTATTTAAAAGTGTTTATTTTCCTTATAGAAAATTTGGAAAATAAAGCATAATAAGCACACATGCAAAAATACACATAAAGAGTAGCAGGGCTAACATGTCTTGCTTACTTAAATATGGTAATGCCACCACAAAACTGTACCATTGTCTGCCAATGGTGATTACTTGGTAAGTCTTCATTATTTTTGCTAGGGGGTATTAATGTGAATTCTTCTAGTATAGACTTACTTTACTTGCCTTCAGTTTTAAACACTAATTATAAAATCTTATAACCAAAGTCACAAAGTTTCTATAAAGAATGAGTAACGTTATATATTTAATGTGTTTACTGAGCTTCACAGAACTACTCAGACACAGTTCCTGCTTTTGCAGGTGTAATAGACAAATCCTCGTTTGACATAAAATGATTAGGGGAGGTTTTCCTATGATCTCTCTCTCTCTCTCTCTCTCTCTCTCTCTCTCTCTCTCTATATATATATATATATATATATATATATATAAACAAACTTAGGCATCAAGAACTAAAAGGAACCTGACAGGTAAAGAATTCCAGGAACAGATGTCTGGTGGAGAAAAGAGCAGCCAAGCTCCTACACAGAGATTAAGGCTTGGAGAGAAGATAGAGGTGCTGGTGCCAAGGAATGAGAGCCAGAGTTACAGGAGACTGGGAATTAAAACACTGCACACTCCGTCGTGATGAGATACCAGAAATATTGGGGAGGATTGTGTACTTAGTGAACCTAGAAGACGGAATTAAAGAAATAACCAGGTCATTTGAATCACAGAAGGAATGGGGACGGGGAGCCGGGGGGTGCGGAGGAGCCAGGATCCTGCAGGCTTAGTGCTGTGACAAGTTTAACTTCAGTCACATCCAGAGTAGCTAGCCAAGGATTTTAAATGACCTCTAAATCAGGAGGACATTCTGTGTGAGGAATGGACAATGGATGAGAGGGTCTAGGGGGAGGATACATAATTGCGTCTTCTAAGTTCACTAAGTACACAACCTCCCCAATATTTCTGCTATCATCAGCGTGGAGTATTTAATTTCCAGTCTCCTGTAACACAGGCTCTGGAGTCCTGCACAGTACCACATGGACAGTTTGTCACAGGGCCTCCTGGCTACTTCCAGTCTCTCTGAAACATTATCTAAGACACAACTCTCTCTTCATTGCCTTGGGACCCAATGAGCAAAGCTATAGTGCATCACAGACCTTGTCTCCAGAGTGGACTAGTAGAAGAGGAACTGACATCCTTGACTACGACCTAGTACAGTCTCCAGTACTTAGGCCACCACTGCCTTCGGAACACTGCCTTTTCCATGAAAGGATAGTCATTTATCTTTTCCAGAGTATCAGGCCCCAACCTTTGATCTTTCAGATAACCAGGAGAAAACACTAAAACATCCTGTTTTATTACACAGAATCTTCTGATTTCCCTTGTTTCACTCACTCCCTAGACAAACACAGACCCTTCCGAATATATGGCAAGATGATTTCTGTCATTTTCCTAGAACTCACAAATGTTTCAGTTTTTATTCTGTGGAAATTTCCCCTTCTTTATGGTTTGGAATGCATCATTAAAAAATATGGCAGCAAAATTTATTAAAAATACTAGCACTAGTGTTTAAAACTGAAGGCAAGTAAAATAAGTCTATCCTAGAAGAATTCACATTAATACCCCTAGCAAAAATAATGAAGACTTACGAAGTAATCACCCTAAGGCAGCAAAATTACTTTATTAAAAATATTAGCACTTAACAACTAAATGAGTCCTATGATTTTTAATAGTGGAAGATGTGCCAATGATTAATGTCTATCCATTCATAACTTATCTTTCATAATTGCTATGAGAATCTCTACTACATTCCTTTGCATTTTCCATGGCATATTTTTCCTGGTACAAAGTTAAAGTATGAAAGTACTATTAATTTTGGAGCCATCTAAATTACTCACTCGAAGTAAAATGACATAAGATGTATTTTGGGTTGTAAATGAAATGTTTTCACAATAAATTTGCCATACAAAGCAGTGTCTCTTAAAAGGCCTTAACTTTGGAGATGAAGGGGAGCCCAAGAATGTGGATAAGAATAAAGTTACATCTTTATGTTCACTAATCCCTACTGAAAGTAACTTTTCATTATAAATGAAGAGAGCACATGGTTGCGGTACCTGTGACTTTGTATTAGTACTCCATGGATCTCTGTAAATGTCAGATCTCTTCATTTCACATTCTAGTTGCAGCTTCAGTTTTTGTTCGCTATTTTGAAATTAGACTTCCTGCTACATCTTATTTAATGGAAAAGCACATATATAGCTGTCACATTTTTAATGACTTTCAAATTAATTTCTTTTATAAACCTAAGTACTTTACTACATGCATGTTAAAAAGAATTAAATTGAGAACAAGTCCATAGGTTCCACCAGGCAACCAACCTACTGCAGTGGCAGGATCACTGCTATCAACTAGAGTCTCCTCATCCCTCCTCTGAAGATACTCATGGCAATGTAAAATGTTACCTCCTCCTTTCTAATTTGTAACCTTGGTCAAATTACTTTGTGTACCTCAGTCCCCAGCTAGAGAGTGGGGATATGTTAATCGGATCTTCCTCATAGGGCTATTGTGAAAATTATTTCATTCAAGGCTGCTTAGCAAAGATCTTAGCATGTGTTATGTAATTCTTATGTATTGTTCCTATCACGTCTATTAAATAAACACAAACTGCACTTTAGAAAGTCTTCCATATCTTGTTTCCTTTTGGAAGGCACTTACCCCAGCCTAATGGCTTCTAGACAATAAAAGCTATGGGGGCTTGCTACACAGAAGAGAAAAGAGGAGAGTAAATGTGGGTCTTGATAGCTTTTCAGAGCCAGAAATTTGGAGGATGGCAACCAGCTGGGCAGACAGTCAGGAGAGGGAACATTACCTTGGCTACAGCCAAATCAAGGTTTCATCCTATCTCTGTGTGTACATTAGTTTTTGGCAAGTTAATTTCTTAGGGTCTTAGTTTCCCTATCTGCAAGATAATTTCCTCCCAGAGTTATAATAAAGTAATAGAATTAAGACAGAAGCACTCCCTGGTGGTGCAGCGGGTTAAAGCACAGCACTGAGAAGCTAAAGCCACTTCTGCATGAGTTCGATTCCCGCCTGCCCCGGAGGTGACCACATGGCGGCAGACCTCTCCTGACCTGCCCGCTGCTCCCCTCAGCAGTGTACTTCGTCGATCTGCCTGTTCTGCTCCCCACTCTGTCTCTGGTGAAGCCTCTCGCTGCCCCTGAGCCTCTGGCCTGTACCCCAGTTCTGTATGCACAAAGTAAATCTTTAAAAAAAAAAAAAAGATTCGTAGCAGAGACACATAGAATGAATTCTGCAAATATCAGCAGACTTCTGTTTCTGCTTCCTTCTCTCTACTTAGCAACCCTTTGAATCTGCAGGCTTTTTTCTTGCTATTCTGGATTCAGGCAAAGACTCGTAGTTAATTGCAATTGCAGAAAAAAAGCAAAAGACAAATCACAAAAACTTCTAATGGACAGCGTTCTTTTACAGGGGAAATTACCCAACTAGGCCATATACAAAAGGATCTCCTTGCAGTGCCTGTCGTAAAGATGACGTGTGTTTGGACAATCTCTGTGGTAAGTAAAAAGCAGTAAATTAACACAATGTGAACAAAAACTATTGTAACTTTCTACAGAATCAAGACAGCAAATGTTCATTTCAAGGGACTTGGAATTAATCAGTAACTGAACTAATTGCTAACATCCTAGGAATGAATGTATGAATATATATTTAAGAAAATTAAGTAAACAAATACCCTAACTGGTTCTAATCAATACCTCCCCCCCCCCAAAAAAAAATCAACTATGGTGCTGGTAACTATAGACCCAAGATTTGCTAATTCAGATCAAAATTTTTTATAGCACAGTTATCCAAAGTAAAATTTGGGCTACTACCTGCCCAGGCCACTCAAGGTCTGCATCTTTAATGAAATAAAAACTAGTGTGGCATTGTACTCACTAGCAAGCAGCATTTAAGGATACAATAAAGATAACTTACAAGGATTTTTTTCTCAACTTTCTAGCAAAATTCTGCTTTGTAATTTTGACATATGAATACTTAATTGGCTAAGAGTTTATAATCCTATCCCAGACATTCCTTTCTATCTCCCTTTCTTAATACACGTTTTCCCCATGGTGTAGAGGGAAACCTCAATTAAAATGTGCAAATCCTGTTCTAAGTTGTGTCTGCGACCACGCAGACCTCCAAGACTGGACGTGTATGGGGAAGATAAAACTAGACTGAGCTTAACTACATAACTTTTGACAGAATTTTCTACGGTCCCATTCAGGTTGAAATGAAGTTTTCTTTTAACTGCTTGTTCTCTTCCTCCTGATTTGTAAGCACTGAATTATCTTTACTCTAGATACAGCAAATCTGGGGACCAATTTTCTGAAACAGCCATCTTTCTCCTAGTTCAGCCATTCTCTAGCTTTGTTAAGGTAACTTGGCAACCTGAGCCTATTATGCAACAAATGTCTTCTTAGGGTGTCCTACATAGGAATGAAATTCCTTTCATGTTGTTACATTATAAAGTACACTCTTTTTTTATTATTTAAAATACACCAAGAGGTCAAAGGTCTAGTTCCACCACTGACCTTGGACAGGTTCCTCAACCTATTTGCTCCACAATGAAATGCCAGCAGCACCTCTTCACAGACCTGATAAAATACTTCAGTGGTGAATTGTATTTACAAGGGGCTGCCATACATTAGCATTCGCAAATATTATCTCCAATTTCTACCTATAACCCCAAATCTTGAGTTTATTCTTGCTTTCTTTATGCACACCCTCAGATGTGCTCTATGCCCATGATGCTTTACCCTCATGGTGCTTACCTAAAAATCAATGACAAAAATTGTGACAAGTAGTACCTTAATTATTGCCACTCTCTTCCCCCATTGAATTCCAAACAGGTAGGAATTATGCCGGTCTAATTCACTTTTATATCCAAATTGCCTAGTCTGGCTGGCAATAAGCATTATTTTGGTTACTAAAAAATTAATTTCATTTAAAACTAGATTTAGTAATACCACCAGTGGTACCACCACAAAACTGCTGGTGTTTTTAGTGTTTGATCTTGTGACAAAACTCAGAAAAAATAAGGTTATGGTCCAATAAGAAGTCCCAGAACACTCCAGAAAGATAAAAGATGTCTTTTTTTTTTTTTTTTTTTTTTTTAAAGATTCCAGATCTGAAAAACTTTGTCAAATATGGGAGGGAAAAATTTTTTACTGATCTTGTGTTAAATACTCTTGGTAGTTTAATATCCACCAAATTAGGATGGCTTTGCAAATTGTGTTGGGCATGCCTCGTGACTTTTAACTAGTCTATGAATGGGTGCTTGTTTCAATAGATGAGTATTTAACATTTAGAAATATATATGCAAGAACAAGTAAACTAGTATACAGCCTTGATTTCATGAATGTAACTGCCAAGAAGTTAAGACAAGTAGCCGCAGCTTCTTGGTAATTCACCATACATGGAGCCAGTCACAGGTACAATGAAAGGGTGCTCCCAGTTCCGAGTGTTAGCGTTGATGGATTCCACCATGGGAACCCAGTAGCACCTGGTTAGAACTTGTGTCAGACTAATATCAAGAAAATGGCAGCTATGGAATTTTCGCAGTGTTTATTTTTAATGAGGTAACACTGGTTTACAATACTGACAGAAAATACAGGCTCACACCTCCTCAGATGTATGCTGCCACCCTCGCTATGGAGGCACCGTAGTCCTCCACCTCAGGCCTTCTACACCGTTGTCTATCTGCCCCTCGCCTCAACAGCGGACGGGCAGACTTCTAGGGTTGTGATTGGTTTGTTCTATCTGACCCTTTGTTTTGTTTCTTGTGTTCCACATATAGTGATTCTGAATGTCAGGAGCTGACTAAAACTCTGATAGCCTACAGGTGATAGGGAAGTCACTCTCTTCTAAATGATCATAAATATTATTCTTCCTAGGGAGGAACTGATTTTCAGGAAAAATTTTTAATCATTCACAATATTGCTAATAGTTCTTTATTTTAAAATGCTAACGTTTTAACTTTATTTTCTAAATATACGACATGTAAAATGATTTTTCATTTATAGTAGTGCCATATAAAAAGTTAGTTTAAATCTTAAATTAACCTTTCAAAAATCACTGCACTAAAGCAAAAATACTATTAAAAAGTACAACAAAAGCCTTATTAGTAGCTGCTCTCTGAATTTTTTCTTTTTTAACTTTACAGCTAATCCAGAGAGAGACCATGTCAAAGGTATGTATACATCTTAAATTGTTTCATTAACACCTTTGTGAATTGTTACTGCATTATAAGAAACAATACTTAAGGTAGTATTTTGTTTGTTTCACAGGTTACAACTCTGTTGTGTTTCCAGATTGGCCACTTTATTCACGTAATAGATCTTTATCTCTCTTTCTCATTGTTAGTCCACCTATTCTATTATTGACTGCCATAATTGCCATTTTTATCAGACATAAATATCCTTGCTAAGTACTTTTGTACTGATATTTCAAAAAAAAAAAAAGGTGACTTGTATGTGGTTCTTTTTTTTTTAACAATGGGTTGCATTTCTAACTAAAACATATCAGGAAAAAAATGTTGTAAACCCTTAGTCAAAAGAACAAACTGTTAACAGGGTAATACCCAGGGAAAAGGAGGTTCCAGGTTCCCTGTCCCACCATAAAAAAGATAGCACTTGGCAGAAAGACAACTAGAAGACTGAGAGAAGGCCTGAGAAAGGAGAGAAAACCTGGCTTAGAGAGAAGCAGAAGAAAAAAGGAGGGGGGGGCACACGGAGCAAAAAGACATGTGAAGCTGCCTTTGTTCCTCGACCTTGGACTATGCCAGAACTTGGCTATCTTGGGTGAAGGACCTGTGGGGAGCCTAACAATAGCAGCCTTTTATCTTGATTAGATTTTGATTTTGCTCTTTCCCTTCCAGAGTTGTCTGGTCCCTTCTGCCCTTCCTATGGGTCCCCACCAGAAGGTGCTTTAACTTGTGGTAAGCTCCTAGGCCTCAGTGGCCCTGCTTTGGGCCAATCCTGTTGGGCTGAGCAGTGACCCACAAGGGGACGGGTAACTTTGGGTGTTTTATGTTAAAACTATTCTCTTATTGCACACTAATTATTTTCTATTGAAGGTTTTTACTCACTAGAGTATTTTGTCTTGATGTGGCAGATGGCTGAACCCACACAGGCAGATTTGGGGGCTCCAGGGTACCTCTCACTCTGTAACAGAACTATTGAACTTCCTACTTCATAGATAAACTCATCCTTACCTCTATGTTTCTATGAAGCAGGGTTTTCTGGTTGTCACAACTATGACTTCCAATAAGTAACCAACTAATTTGTGCCTCTGCCTCTAAAGCTGTAAATAAAATAAGTGACTTACCTGATCCTAAACACCATTGACACGCAATGGCAAAACACTACCTGACTTGGTGCAAATTACCTCACCTCTACAGTGGTTTCCCTTGCTCTCTTGCAATTTGAAGTTTTTCTTGTTTACTACTTTCTCAGTGACTATTATAATGATCAAGGATATGATTTAAAAGGCCTAGTTTTGCTTGTTAATGTTTACAAAATAAAATTACAAAAAGTAATAAGCTTAAATACACATTTACTTGCCATTAGAGAGGAAGAGAAAGCACTGAAAATATGCGTTTATTTTCCTCAACCAGATGCTGGAACATGATTATAATTAAAGACTAACCAGTGGGATGAAACACTGGATTTGATGAATAATTACAATAGCCACATCTCCAAGTCTTTAGATACATAAACAAGCTAAAGAATCACTCCTAAAATCATGCTTAAAGGTGATCAGCTTACTATTCCTCACAGGTAAGGCAACAAATGGCCTAATATCAAAATCCTTTACAAAAGGAGATAGCTTAAGTTAGAGTTCAATTCTTCTGGCATGTTACTTTTTTTTCTTCTTTTTCTTTTCATCTACTTCCATTTTAAGCTTAATTTCTTCAGCTGTGAGAGCTCCCAGTTTCTTATTCCTTGCTTTCTTAACCTTTTCCTTGATGGCAGCCACATCAATCTTAGTTTCAGAAGAAGCTAGACAAATCAGAAACACAATACATGTGATTCTTTAAGTCGATATCAAATAAAAGACTTAACTAGCTAAGGTAAAGTTGGCAATCTTCAAAAGTAGGACGAAATCTGAAGTATAAATTTAAATTACATTTAACGAACAATACCACACATAGCCTTTCTAGCTTTACTAATTGGCATTAACTGCTACCAAATTATAAACTGCTTCAAATCTTCTTCTTAGTGATTAATGAAATACTAAGGCCTGGCTCTTTATATTCAGACTCTGAAGTATGCATTTATTTCTCCTGTAGACTTGCGCATCATGTCAAGAATTGGAAAACACACATTACCTTCCTTAGGTTTCACAACTGGTTTTTCTTTAGGTGGAATAAAAGCTTTGTTTCTTTCCTCCTGTCTCTTACTGAGAGCTTCTGCTTGTTTTGCCTGTGTTATTAATTTAAAAAATACATTAGTAAACAATTTATAGGTAAGAATTCCAATTTCTATGAACTTGTATTAATGTGAGCTAAATATGTTACCTTTATTGCTTCCATTTTCTGTCGTTTCTTTTGACTTGCCTTCAAGAAGTATTCACCACTAGCCAATTCCTTATCAATCTGTTGAAATCAGTATTTACAAATACATCAGGAACAATGTACATGAAAAGTCACTTCCTAAGTCACAAAGTCCTTGTGCAAATACAGTAGAAGCAAAAATCTAGCATCAGTTTATAAAGGAGCAACACAAAAAAACAAAGTACCTTAAGCTGAGGTACTACGCACACAGAAGCATGGAGGCAGAAAAGTAGATGTAACACTTGTAGGTGGACACAGCAGGCAACAATTCAGAAAGTGTGAGAGAAAAGATAGCTTGGGTGAAGCTTGAAGGAATTCGAATGCCAATTGGAGGAGGTAGGACAATCTACAAATGACTGAAGGTTTCTGGGATTATAGCAATGAAAGCAGCATTGTATCAGAAACAGAAGTATGGAAAAAAAGTCTGGAGTAAAAGGAGTGGCTACAAATTAAGAACCAAGATTTGCCAGCATTTGGTGAGTAAATAGTAAGAACAGAAAGCTATTCAGCTCATTCATTATATATATGACCTATCAAACTTATACAACATCCTATCTAGGAATGTTATGTCTTCAGTTACCAAATTAGTTATCATCCTCAATAATTCTTTGAGAAAGGTATTTCCTATTATCTATGTATGGTGAAACTAAGCCACATAAACGAAGACAGGCCTGCTTCAAGAAGCTTACAGGATTGAGGAGAAAATACGACTGTTAACTACTAACTACAGGACAGGGCCCTAGGAAGTGGAACAGGTGTTATAGAAACACAATTTGGTAACTGATTACTTTCCTGTAAGCATCAATTTCTCTCTGGCCTCACTTATTTTCCTTTCTAGAACAGAACTCACGATCCAATACTTTCATAGTTTTTTGTTTTAACCATGACCACTATTTCTTTGTTCCCGTTGACCTTTCATCAGACTTTTCCTGAAGAACTTCAAGTGCAAGGCTGTGTAGAAAACAAGACAGTACACAGAAAGGGATGCTATGTGCTGAGCTCTTATGGCTAAGAGCAAAGACAAATACAGTCAAAAGAGAATGATGCAAGAGTCCACAGGAAGTAAGTGAAAACAGAATTTAATATTTCAGTAAAATAAAATACAATGCCATCTGCTAGGAGTGTTGAGAGAAATTAAGAGGACACAGAACCACCAGACAATACTCAGAAACTACCTGAGGCTGGACACATGAATATATAGTGACTATAATTCAAAGATCAGATTTTATGTCTGAGATAGAAGACAAGTTTTAGCATTGATCCAAATTTTAGAGTTTTGTTTGGGAAGGTGTGACAGAAATGAAACAAAAATAGGCTAAAGAGAAACTTTAAGGCAGTTGAGAAAACAAGAGGCATTCATAACTCAGAAAAATGGGTGTCAGAATTTTGAAATTGCAAAACCGGAGCTGTCACCAGCACATGGTCACAGGGAATGTGTCAAAGCAAAGTATAGAGCACTGTGGGTTAAATCGCTCAACTTTTTCTCCATAGAACATTTACAGATACAGTTTATAGTCCCAATGTGGCACCCTAATACTCCACCCCATGCACTTGGTTCAAAATGAGTCTCTACATGTAACATCACTTTTTATATTTCCACACACCTAAACACACACACACACACAATGTTCACCTAAAATACTATCAAAATTTCTGACAAAAGAGATAAAAAGTTTCTTCTGAGGCATAGAATAGAAATTCAACATTAAATACTAACCTGACTTTCTGGCTGTGGTGGTGGGAATGGTGTATACTCTTTCTTAACAGTCTTTTTCTTTGGTTCCTTCCGTTTATTCACATTTTTGTGTTTGAATTGTGGCAAAAATCTTTCCCAACTTTGTGATCTTAATTCAGAATCTTTTGCCAACTCTCGTTTTATCATTAAGGTCTTCAGTCATGGTAACATAAGAAAAGAGTGAAAATTTTAATTTCAAAAGTCTTATATGTCAAGCTAAGATAATGTAAACACTGACCCTATAAACATCTAAAAAAGTAATTCGTAATTTTTTCTGTAACATTAAATCAATTTCACAAAGAAAATATGATTTAAAAGGTATATAATAAGCATCAAAAGACAAGTAGGAATTAAGACATGAACTAATGAAATGAAAACGAGACACTCAGCTCTTTAGCCTTATTTCCTCAAAACCTTTAAAATTCACCTTAATAGCATTGAGTTCTTAAAGTTCCCTGCAAGTACAAAGCTTTCAATAGCACCTGGTATACAAGAAAGGAAAAATTCTCATGACCAGACAAAACAAAGTCACAGTCTCATGTTACCACCACACAGCTGAATTTTATAGCTACCAGAACAAATGATGCAACCCAGACATCAGATGCATTACATTTTAGGTAAGAGAAACAGTACTTTTAATGTCTGAATATAACACAAAATCCTTTCACCCCATTCTAACTTTTAAACTTCGTGAAATTTAAGTGGACTGCTCAACAATTACTCATCTAAACCACGGCTTATCTCCCGAGTACAATTATGAACTTTGTGTTCATGGGATAGAACACATTCCTCTCAAAAGGCCTAAAATCTGAGTGTTAAATTCTGAAAAACTTTTAAGGAAGACAGATTCTCAGAAATCACATCTTTAAACATAGTACATGGGCTCAAAAATAAAGAAAATTGGCCTGACATCATCTGAACAAATTCTACAAAGCCTGTTTTCTTTGTGTTAGAACTCCACGCTATGCTATAGTATCCTCTTCAGTGGTTTTCAAGCTGTACTCCACAAAGCCAAATTGTGAGGATGCTATTACAGGGTGAGGGAGAGTTGAAGGGGGCTAAGCTCTACTTCCAATTTACCCAAAATAGCTCAGCTTTATCTGTTTTGTAAATGTTTCATAAAAGACTTAATTTCAAGAAAAGATTTTTATACTTAAAAGTGGACAACTACTGTTACCATAAAATGTAATTAACACTCACTTTAATGTTATAAATTGGATGAATATTCTTCATAGTATCTAGGACTACTTTTCGAACCTGAAATTTGCAAAGAAAAATTAGTCACTCATCAAGATTTTAAGGAACTAGGCAGAAGAGGATCTATGTATTAAAAATATTCTATTACAGTGGGATCAACCCAAATGTCCAAAAGTAAATGACTGGATTAAAAAGATGCATATATACACGATGGAATATTACTTGGCAATCAAAAAAGATAAACACATGCTTTTGGCAGCAACATGGATGCAGCTGGAAGGGAGCATTCTTAGTGAAATAAGCAAGAAAGAAAAAGAAAAATACTGGATGGTTTCACTCATAACAGGAGCATAAAGGATGAGGGGGAAAATGCACTGGACTATAGTAATGGCACACGGGTGATTTGGTGATGGGGAACCCACGGGGATTACAACTGAGATGGAAAAGGCACAAAATGATGTAAAAGTAAACTCTTAGATTAATAAAATAAATTAAAACAAAATTCTATGATGGGCCCTCCTTGGTGGTGCAAGGGGTAGGATGTAGCAATGCAAGCTGGCTGCAGCTGCTTCCATACGAGTTCAAAGCGAGTTCAGTATAAGATCATTCCAGCCCTGGAGGATATCCACATGGCCTGGGAGACCTCTCCTGACCTGCCCACTGCTCCTCTCAGCAGTGTACTTGGTCAATCTGCCTGTTCTGCTCCTTACTCTATCTCCGGTGAAGCCTCTCACTGCCCCTGCACCTCTGACTTGTACCCCAGTTCAGTTTGAATAAATCTTTAAAAAAAAACCTATTAAAAAAATTTCTATGAATCAGGTAATAGCCACTAAATTGAAGACAACAATGGTTGTTGCTTCAACTATTCTAAATGGCTTACAGATCTTTCCCAATAGTCAACCTTCCTTGGATACAATAAAGTTTTTTTAACTTCACTACCAAAATGTGGTACACAGAAATAATACAACACTCTGGAATTGTGCGACTTTGGGCTAAGAGGGCTGGATGTACAACCAGAAAATGTAGGGTCAAACAATAGGGACTTCCACTTTATATGACAATTTTCCTATTACAAGTTTTTCATTTATAATGTGGAAATAAAACTACTCAAAGAGTCTACTGTAAGAATTAGTCTTTAAACTATGAAATATTCAATATACTTAAGGTATTAATGCCCCATGAAAACAGGGCAGGTAACTTCAAGAAGGAAGCCCAGTACAATTACATTAAAGGCCCTTAAAAGGATGTCAGAGATCCCAGGCAGAATCATTAAAAGTTAAGGAAGGTGCACCTGCTCCACAGATTTTTCTTGTCACATTCAACTTGATAAAGAAAATATTTATGAAAAATGAAACTAAAATGAATATATTGTACAGGAAATTGTTTAGTGCTGGATATCTACCAACTATTTTGTTACTGCAAATAACAAGATCTCTGGTCAAATCTCCAATCATGTGAGTACATGTTACTATATCATGTTTCTCATATGATCTCATAAAATCTTAAATACCCATTAAAAATTTGTGGTGGGGCCCTCCCTGATGGCGCAGCGGGTTAAAGCACAGCACTGAGAATCTAAAGCCACTTCCGCATGAGTTCGATTCCCGCCTGCCCCGGAGGTGACCACATGGCGTGGCAGACCTCTCCTGACCCGCCCGCTCCTCCCCTCAGCAGTGTACTTCGTCGATCTGCCTGTTCTGCTCCCCACTCTGTCTCTGGTGAATCCTCTCACCCTCCGCAACTCTGGCCTGTACCCCAGTTCTGTATGAATAAATAAATAAATCTTTAAAAAAAAAAAATTTGTGGTGGAAGGAGTGATGATGCACAGACCTCTTCATTCAGAAATGGATGTAGTTACCAAAGTTTGGCTACTGTGTTAGTCTTAAAGAGTGATGAGACCCTCAAATTTTATTAAGTACAAAGTACTTACTAATGGGAAATCAATCAAAGCACATTCTAAAAAAATAAGCATAAAACAAGACAATGAATGAACTATTAAAACCAAATATTTAACCTGTCCCCTGCTGAAAATTAACTGAAGATAGTAAATAGTTCTCACCTCTTTTAAGCCACTAAAAGGTCCAATGGCTGAAACTGTGTTTCCCTGAACCATAATGTAACAGTTCGTTAAGAGTTCCAATGCCTATTATCAAAAAGAACATTAAGTTGGAATTCAGTATACTGAAAAAACTAATGAGAGGAAAAGGTACTCAAGTTTTCTACTGCTAAAAAATACCTTCAATGTAGACCCTTTGGGACCAATAAGCCGTTGTCTTCTTTTTACAAATCTTTCCTTATTTCTCACTAATGAACCTATTTTAATGATGTCACATGCTACATCGTCTTGAAGAATTCGTATTGCCTTTATGAAAATAAAGAAAATATTGTCAATATTCTTTACAAATAGGTTTCTTTTCCCTTCTCTCTGGAGAAGGTAATGCAGTTGAGGTTTGGGGAGGATATGTTACTGATGCAAACAAAGTTTCTGTAATTCTAGATTTACCTGTTCAAATGAAACACTCCTTGCTAATAGTTTTATCAGATCTCTGGCCCTAATGATGATATATGGATCAAAAGTCTTCTTCGTTGTACAAACAGTCATGCTGCCCTCAATCAAGTCCAGTGTTGCATTAACATGCTACAAAAAGAAAACAAGCAGAGTTGTCTAACAATGAATTCAATTAATTATTCAACTAATTATAGACCTATCTTAATCAAACCATTAATTTCTGTGCTGATAAGCTACCCCTCAAATTCTGTGAGTTCCCTCCTTAACAAAGCTGGATAGTTAATATAAATAATGAGTACCTAATTAATGTCATACTTCAAAGAAATTCAGGCAATATAAACATTAATATTTGGCTCTTAAATACTTTGTACTTACTGGAATAAAGATTAGCTCTAGTTTAAAAAGCACACATCAATCCAAATGAGATCGTATTTCAAAAATTAAGGCAAAAATGCAGTTACACTGATCCCCTTTTGCAGACCCAGCTCTAAATTACAATCTGCTTCCTGAGAACAAACATTCTCTTTTAAAGTTTTTGCTAGTTGGTTTGTATTACTTAAAAACAAGGTCAACCAAATGATAAAGAAGCAATAGTTAGCAAAATTATGCATTAACTCTTAATAGGAAGAACCAGACTTCAATAAAGCAAACAAAATGCTATTTTCTGACTTGTGAAGACAATCTGAAAAGTATTTCAATACAGTGAACCTCCTCAATAGGAGATTGGGGCTCTTATGAGTTTACCACCCACTAACAAAACAAATTCAATTCCAGATATAGACTGTAAAACACAGTGTCATTTGCTGACCACCTTCATACCCAGTGACCACAAAGGACTCCGGAGCAGCCCCCCACTTGAAAAATACATTTCTTCTCACACACACCAAAAAGCTTCACATCATGACACTGATCACATGCGATACACTGATTATGTTTTAAGGTTCCTGTATCTACTAAATTGACTTCTCAATTCACTAATAAGCTTGAGATACAAAATACAAATCACTTTCTGTGCATATGGCAGCAACAACAAAGAAAGCTGGCTACATTAATTTTTTTCACTTTGAATGAAAAGCTATGCAATTAGTTCAGACCATGTCTCAGCTCAAATTCTACAAGTGCATGGCAACTATCATAGCACAAAACAGACATTCTGAAATTTGGAGTTCAGAAGTTAAGTTTCACATGATGTGTGAAACCCTTTAAAAACTTACAGACATGCAACTTTTTCAAAGTACTCAATTATTCACAATTAGCTTTCTTACGGCATTTAAAATACCAGAGGAATGAAGTTAAGGAGCTAAGCTAGTATCTTTTAATAAAAACCCATCAGCACACATTCACTTACTTAGAAGAAAAAGCAAAATCTTAAATACATAAAATATGCATACATGTTCATTCAAGGCTTTCTGTACCAGTGGCCAGCACTCTTTCAAATAAGCCTCTCTATATTTTGGGAACAAAGTGGCAAAACTGCTCTCTTCCAAAAGTCCTCTGGGATTGTCCTCTTTGGAAAAAGCTGGTTCCTTCCAACCATCAGGAACAGTAAGGAGTTCTGATTCATCTACAGAGAAGGGAAAATTTACACACCAAATTTTAACTTTCTACTGGACATTTTAAAAACATACTATTCATTCACAAGTTTCCCATTATTCTCCTGTGTTTCCTTTTCCACTGCAGTTTTTATTCAGTAGTCAAATATACCCATCTTTATCAACACATTATTAAAATTGCATACATTCCAGTCTCCACAAAAGACATTCCTTAAAGGGAAGGAGACCCCTCCTTCAACTGGCACTAAGCACAGATGCCTGGCAGCCAGAGGGTACTCAAGAAACTTCTATTGCACTACACTGCATAGAATTTAAGATTCAAATACCATTTGTTTATGTGATTTTTAAAATGTAAGTAACTTTCCTATGTAGAGCATGCCTCTATGTATGTATAAATGTGTGTGTGTACATAAAACATTTAAAAGCTGATTCTTTCTGATACTTTCAGTTAATAATCACTAGTTTTGAGCATTAAGATTTCCAAACAGTTCTCAGGTGCTTTATTTCTGTAAACCCCTCATACCTATGGGAACACGCAGTTCATTCAAATTAGGTTTCTTTTCATTAAAACAAAATGCCTCCTAAGGGCCATAATTATTTCACCCATTGTTTATTAAAAACCTTAATCCTGAATTTTAAGAACCTCTTAGTTCTCACTGCTATACTTTATTTCAGCTCTACTTAAAAGATATGGTCCACAGACTGCAGCATCAACACAAATTGGGAGCTTGTTAGAAATGCAAATTTTGGCCTCCATTAAAGACCTACAGAATCCTAATCCTGGCACGAGGCTCAAGGCTCTATGTTTAAACATCACCATCAGGAGATTTTTATGCCTACTAGTTTAAAAGGCAGGTCTTTACAGTTCATGTTATTGACTCCGGTGAGGTAAACTTGCTTTCCAGTTTTTATAATCACATCCACTTTGTTCTCTCTGCCTCAAATTACAAAAACTAGTATACCATTTACTTTCTAATATCCTAAAAAATAAAAAACTCAAAAAATACAACAGCGATTACTTAAAATATAGCCTGTTCATGTCTCTATTCAATTTAAACACCTCAATGGCTGTAAATTAAAAAAAAAATAAAGTGCTAATAAACAGGAATTTCACCGTAGAAGTAACAACCCATAAAACAGGTGAAATGTGTAAACAGGCCAGTTTCAGTTAAAACACCCAGTATCATTTCATACTTACTGAAGTGACAGAAAAGCAAAAAAAAAAAAAAAAAAAACAACCTTTTAAAAGGAAAAAATAAAAAGCAAGACGCTCATCCACTACTAATGGGAACGTAAACAAGCATAACTTCTTTGGGAAAGATCTAGAGATATTTGCACATACCCTATACCTCAAGAATTCCAATTCAATCACATAACCTAGAGAAACCCTTGAACACGTTAACCAGGAGATGTGTACGAAGATGTTTATAACCGCGTTGTTTTTTAACACCAATGGGAACTGTTCACCAACAGCTGCTGAATGGAAATACAAGTTGAATATATTCATACAGGGGAATATCACATAGTATTGTGGGGGAAAAAAAAAAACAACAGCTAAAAGTATCACCCAAATAACAAAATTAAGTCTAAGGAGCATGACAGAGGATGACAAAAGCCCTCTGAATCATGCAAAACTTAAAAATAGGCAAAATCAGAACATTTTGTGCATAGGTGGTAATGGTTATGAAAAGTAAGTTAATACGATTCATAAATTTAACTTCAGGTCCCAGAAAGGAAAAGAATATGATCTGAGAGATGCTGCTAGGGGGTTAGGGGGTGCGGTACTGCTCTATTCTACTTTAACATCTGAGTACTCCCTTATAACGTGTCATTTATATTCCACAACTCGTAAAACAGTACTGTTATGCACAAGACATTAGAGAGACAACAAAACATCTACAATACCTCTCCATGTCTCTAAAACTAGAGGTCAAGGTTTTTAACAATTCCAGTAAGACATGGGGAGCAGGCCCGGGATCATCTTTCTAGCCTCTCTCCCTGTCTTTCATACTGAAGAAAACGGGGTAACACTGGACTACATAGCAAGACAGCAGTTTAAGAAGGGCAATCTAAAGAGTAGGAACTGTGTACTCTAATATTTTAGCAATCCAATCAAGAATACTAAAGGTTCCGAAATGTCTTCATTAACTGACAACTACTAAGGACCCGTTCGGTGGTTCCTTCTCCTTAGCCCTGACTCACCTTTTCATTATCAGCGTTCATTCGTAGACATAACCGCTTCCCTCCCATTCCTTATTTTGTTACCGTCTTTGAGCACCCTCGTGCGTGCAAGAGCCCTGCAGCGCCCTCCGCCATTTCTCAACCCTCACCTCTTTTGTAGATGATTGATTCCGCAACAGCTGCTCTTTGGGAGCCTCCGGCAAAAGTGATCAGTAAGGAACGTGTGGCCAGCACCACACTGGCCAATAGTTTCTGCGGGTCGGCCCAACACCGCCCAACGTCAACAAATGCAGCTACTCAACTTCACAAAACAGATTTAAGGCGGTGTTACACGTTCCCAGAATGCGACAGACAAACAAACCCCAACTCAACAACCATAAGCCCCAAGCTTCGTTTTTCACGCAGACTTACCTCTGTTCTCCAGCTTCGGCTTCTGGTTACGAAACTCGCTTTTTCCAGACGCCGTGCCTACCCCGTTCAACGAGGGGGCCGCCATCTTCAAATCACTTCCTGTAGTGCCGGAAGTGAGCCGCTTCTCAAATCCTACCTCTTTAATCAAAATGAGCTCCGCTTAACGCAGAGAATTATCTGCGCAGTCTCCGTTCAAGCCTAACTGAGCTGCCGTACTTCCAGAAAACTATACAGCTTGCCCCGCATGCTGAGCGAGAGGGATCAGCGAGCTGGGCGTCTTCCCCAAGATGCCTAGCGACCACGGAGACTCATTGCATTCTGGGAATTGTAGTTACCGTATTTGCAGAAGCTATAGGGTTAACGCGGCGTGTTGAATAGAGAACTGGAGGTTTCTTTCCCAGGATGCCCAGCAACCACGGAGACTGACTGCATTCTGGGATTTGTTGCTACCGTACTTGCAGAAACTATACGGCTGCTGTGACGCAACTGGAGGTTTTTCCCAGGATGCCTAGAATCACGGAGACTGGCTGCATTCTGGGAATTATAGTTTAGCGCTGTTGGAAGTAAAAATTGGTTCCTATCGGTAATTTCCTAGTCACATCAGTAGACAACCTGAAACGCCACATTCCGGGATTTGCCGGAGTGCAACGGGACTACCATTGATATCTTTCACTCTTTCAATCAGTATATGGTCATCAACTAAACACTTGCCGTTGGAGAAACAAACATAACACTATATGGTACTCCACATTAAGAAGCGGTGATATTAGCGAACATTTATTGTAAATCTGGTTAACAGACACTGCAGTAAGTCAGAGCAAAAATCTCTAAGACTGAAAAAACTTTGGAAAGTAAGCTTTCAGTGTTATTATTTCTGATGGTAAATTCTTCCCGAATATCTTTCACAAAATTTAGCTATTCCTGTATGAGGTACATTTATAAGGAAGGCTGTTACTTAGGGACCAGTGATTCAAGACACATAATTATGTTAAGATTTTTGCTTTCATCCTGCGTATTTTATAAATGACAGGTAGTGATTTCACCCTCTAGTCTTACAGTTTGCTAAAAAAAAAAAAAAAAAAAACATCGGTATAATAGAACGACAGGGGAAAGCTATAAAG